AAGTGTGGTGACACTTAAATGAACACGTGGATGTTTGTTATAGAACAAAACATTGGAGACCCGTCGAGAGATTCCACATGGATAACTATCTGAGTGTCAGTGGTTAATCTCTAACGTTCGGTAGTGGAATTGGTCCTTTTGACTTGAGGTCGTCATGGTACCTTATATGAGGACAGTCATACTTTGGCGGTGTTGGATGTTGCTCTGAAAAGGGCCGCTAATACGACATCGTTCGGGTACGTCAAGAATCGTATGAAGGTTGTGATTGATCAATAAAGGATTCGTCACTCTTAGATAGTAGGAGATTATGATCTGCGTTTCATTCAATTAAGTCAATGATGAAATCCTTGGCCAAGGTGTACTCATAAGTCGAAAAGGAGTTTTCGATTTATATTGACTTAATAGTGGAGTGAAAGATATGATCGATGATCGGGATTGACACAACTCCATATCTCGTAATTGATCGGATCATATTGACTGGGATTATAGTTTCACGGTAAACGAACGAATTTGGTTTTGTCATACCACGGGACATTTCCCGTCACATGTATTGCCCTGACACATTGCTAGATGTCAATCAGGGACGGCGAATGTGAATTGACGATAAATTAAAAGGGGGGTTTTAATTTATCAATTTTGATTAGATCAAAATAATATTTCACGTCGTTAGGCGTCGTGGTCGGGAACCTAATGGGTCACACACAAAAGAGAATTGGAAGATTGCAAATTGCCAATTGATTAATTTAACAATCGTTGGATAAATTAATTAATTGGATTTGTTATTTATATTTTCGAATTAATTAATTGGATTAATTAATTCACGGACCGGGTTTAATTAATTGGATTAATTAATTATTGGGCCGGACCGGGCCGAGCCTATTTGGGTTTATATAAATACATAACTAGGGTTTGAGGTCCATTAAGGTTTTCATTATTCTTGCTAGCACAAGTGAAAACCCTCGAGGCTGCAATCAAATTCTCTGTGTAGATCACCGTTGGAGGCTGGACAATTGGACAGCTGTGGTGGCGAATCAAAGTTGTGGAACGAAAAGAAAAGCAAAAGGATTGCAGATCTGGAAAAGGTACAATCTTATCACAATTTCTAACCAAACACAATGAGATCTATTGGGTGGGAATCGAAATAATTTTAAATTCCGCTGTACATGTATAAGTAGATTCCCAACAGCTGAGTTATGATGTCAGAGCTGAGGCATCACCTTTCGATCCAAGAGTGAGGGAATATGCTAGGGAAGCTTTTGGATATATAGGAAGAATGTGAGAAGGATATGGACTTTCTGGACGTTGGTATAATAATAAATTTATAAAATCTCCTTCAAGGCTTGGGAAGGGAGTGTGATCAGCTGTCCATTGCACTAGATCTAATTCGTGAAGTAGCAGAAATTTTAGTTTGCAATATTCTTCATCGGTTGTCTCCCATTTTGGCCCTTCAAAGGCATTATTATCCAGTTTAAGTACTTCAAGATTGGGCATTTTACCAACTATAGTCATATGTTCCCAAGGAATTCTGCAATGCTTTAAGGTTAATTTTTTGATATTTGGTGGGAAAGTGAAATTAATCAGGTCACTAACACAATCACATACACCTAAGATTTTCTCAAGTTGAGGAAGATTAACCAGGTTACCTAAAGAAAAGGGTGCAAATACCAAATATTCAATCAAAATTCCTAACTTGTTTAGATTTGGAACTCTTTCGAAGACCTCCTTGGTACAGCTTGAGCTACTCACTTTTGACAAAGTTAAAAGGTTTCCTAGAACTAAATCCTTCCCATTTATTGGCCATCTAGCAGGGCACGGTATATAACATCTCCTGAACAAAAGATCCCTTAATTGTGGCATCCTCCATATTTCCTCAGGTAGATGTACTTCGTCACAATCTACAATTAAGGTCTGTAGATACCAAAGAAAATCAGGTAGTATCTTAGGTATGGAAATTTTCCCATCACAGGAAAAAGCGATGTACCTTAAGTGAACTAATTTTATTTCTCCAACTGGGAAACCATCTACTTTTCCTTTAGCAAGATCCAACACCCTGAGTAGTGGAAAAAGTTTTATGTCACCTGATTCATAAATCTCTCTAGCCGAATGGGAACATAAAATTGAATGGACTGGTCGCAGGGATCCCATGGACGGATTGGTATTTGAAGTATCTGGCCGAATATCTGGCTGAATACGGACTTGTCGCAAGGATCCCATGGACGGATTGGCATTTGAAGTATCTGGCTGAATACATAGGCAACGTGAATACTTTCTGCCTTCAGCTAAGATTCTGAAATCTTTATCTGCGACAGTGGCATGAAAAAACTTCTCCTGCTGGGCTTTTCTTATGCGTAGGTCCCTTAACAGATCATGGATGCCACAGGTTTTTATCTTTCCACTAGAACTCTCCTCACGAGTCAAAATAAGATTTCTGGAATTAGATCTCCCAAATATTCCTCTGCCACTTCTTCCAAGGTTTTACATCTGGCTGGTTCTAGAAATCCCTCTCCATAACTTGATGAGTTTGGAGACGCGGATTTCATCATCTTCTGGAAAAATTCCCACCTAGAGAAAGCATGCTTTGAGATGATGAGGCAAGTAATCGAAACTTAAAGATAGTATGTCTGAGCAGTTTGGATCTGTTGCATTTACAACCGACTTGACATTTTGTGCAACATATACCCAGTGTTCTTTTGTCCTGTTGGCTTTTGAAAGGTGGCCGCCAATCACCACAAGGGAGAGTGGAAGTCCTTTGCAATTCTTTGCAATATCGTTTCCAGCTTTCTCCAGTTCAACAGGGCAAGACTCGTTCCCAAACACCTCCCGACGAAGTAAATTCCAACTGTCAGTCTCCTTTAGAAATTGCATATGATGGGGGAGAGCTATGGGAGTCAACCGCACTCAACAGCCGTGTTGTCAAAATGATCCGGCTTCCAATCCCGTCATCTGGAAATATCCTACTCAAAGAATCCCAATCCTCGGTAGTCCAAACGTCATCCAACACAGCAAGATACCTTCTACCTTTCAAACTTTTATATAGATACTCTTTTAATTCTTCAGTATTTTTCTCTTGATGCATTTCAGTACTGAGTTGTTCCATGGAATCCAGAAGGCTCAGCCAGACTTCTCGCTCACGACATTCTTGAGAAATTGATGCCAAGGCACAAATGTGAAAATGGCCTTTAGTACGTGCCAAGGCACAATTGTGAAAATGGCCTTTAGTACGTGGATCAGTGTAAACATTTCTAGCAAGTATGGTGACTTCAAGAGAAGGTGGATATCCAGTAAGTCGATCCACTGTTTGAATCAAATCATCACGAAACCCAACCATAGCACTCTTCCCACTTGAAGCAAGTCTTGATTGTCTGGTTTGCAAAGAAGTCCTCTTGCTGTGGTACAGATCTGTTGAGCCCCCACAACTCCTTAAGCTTAGCAGCCGTCGTCTTAATGGAATCAATTTCATCTGCTACTATCACGAAGTTTTCACAAAAAGTTTGGTATCTGATTTGTCTTTCATGAAAACTTTCCTGACCAAAATTCTTTGATATTTGGGATTCCATGATATCTTCAGTTTTGTATGCTGCATCTCGAATTTCTATTTCCAAATATCGTAGCTCCTTCTCTGCCAAGAGTCATCCAGAAAATCTAGTAAGAATTTCAAATTTTCCTGGAGAGATTTAATTTGTTGGTCCTGAAGACGAGTCTGATGTTGTTTGAGATAAGGATTTGATATCTGCCTCAGAATCTGACTGAGAGACAGTACAGCAGCATAAGCCATCTCCGATTTCTTCGCAGAATCTGATTGAGAGATAATAACACGAAATTGCAGCCCACCTTAGCAAGTGGTGGTTCTGGGAGGTGGAGGTGGAGGAATTGAGTAGAGGGAAGAGATGACGAAGAGTGCAGAGAGAAAAAAGGGATGGATATTCGTGTATGAGCACGCAAGTAGTATTAAGCTATCATACAAGCTTTTTGTTTAGTTTCCAAGGAAATACACCACTTTGAGTCTGCAAAGTTGAACAACCACATTATCTTATGACAAAACTGGTTATATCATCCCAGATTATTTTTATTCTTACAATATAACAACTTGTATTCAAGAAAAATTATAATTGTCTAAAACTCATTTTTTCCCCAAATTCATTATCAGTCATAGACTCTCACGATAAAATAATTTGCACTTCAATCCAAAAACTTTTAACAACATATTCGCCAAAAATTCACTATTTACAAACTAATTTTAACAAAATTAAACATATGCTGAATAACTAAACTACCATAGGGGAAATTGCAGCTTTAGTACAGATCTATACACTTAATAGAAAACATGTCCTAATTCTATTTCTTTTAGAATTCACATCATCAACATACCATTTCTGATGCACCATAGTTCTTGGTTGACGAAATCCATTTAATTAACAGCTAATTTCCACAACTCCACTTATCTTTTGGGTTCCCGGCGAAATTGTTAAATGGTATTGCAATCCTGACATTCTTAACATCATTTCAACCTTTTACTGCAAAAATCACTAATTTTGTTAGATGTTCATTTATTTAAGTATTAAAAGGCTAATATTTTGACAAAAAAAAACTTCTAACTTTATTTAAAATAATACAAAAATAAAAACCCAATAAAGGAAAATATAAAAAACACTTCACTGCAAATAAAAAACGAAAAAAGCTTCATAGTGCATTTTTTTTCCTTAATTATTTTTATTTTTATTTTTTTTTTTGGGAGGGGGCCATCGGTGTTTTTTTTTTTTTCAACAATTAAAATTAAAGATGTTGTAGTCTTTGCAATAAAAATATAGACCTTTAAAAGTCAAATTAACCATAGCGGATGAAAGAAGTGATTTAACAAAAAAAAAGAAAAATGTATAGAAAAGAAAAATGCCACACTCCAACGGTCCAACCACCACTTGACTTCGGTAAAGATTTCAAATCTGTTCTGTTAGCTCTTGGATTTTTTCCTTTTCTTTAAATTATAATAAAGAATTTAAAAATAATGTTTGTGTAATATGCATCTTGTCAATAGAATGAAATTTAATGTATTCATCAACCATTTTGCTGAATTATTCAATATTTTACATAAATAAGCCTCTGTTTGGTTTTGCTAAAAATTCATATTTTTAGTTGATAAAAGTTAATGAATTATGTGGTTCAAAAATTAATAAAAAATGCGATAACATAAATGTTTGATTGAAAATGAGTTTAAAGAGAAAAGATGAGCAAACATGCATGAAATTTCTATAGAGGCGAAGTGAAGTATTTGAGAAATTTTTGTCGAGCCTATAGATAAGAACTTGATATCTGTTCCAGAATTTGATTGAGAGATTAAAAAAGAAAAAGAAAAAAACAGCGGCATAAGTCATTTTAGATTTCTCCACAGTTTCAATAACATGAAATTGTTGTTGGAAAAAATTAATTGAATGGCTGATTTGGCATAAATTTTGAGTGGGATCCGATTTTTTATTTTGGAAGATCAAGATTGATTTTTGTTCTTCTATGTGAGAGCATCAAAATCACATATTTACTTGCCAAAAATGATGTTCAGGTGAATGCGAAACTAGAGCTCAAAATGTGCCAATTGAAAGAAGTTTATGTGTTGGAGGGAAATCAATTAAAGTTTGTTCCACACAAGAACATAATGAAGGCAAATACAACATTATATAGGATTGCACTTTGGATGGGGGTGATCATGTATAGCTTAGAGGCTCTTTCTGCGTGCACATGCAAGGGTGCAAATCATAGACAAAAATAGGGTTCAGACCTTGATCTTGTGTGTGGATGCGACTTACGCACAAAAATGTCAAACCAAAAGGACCAAAATTGGCCCTTTCAGAGGGCCTAAGTTTTGTCAAATTTTTCCCTCCAATTGACCTTTTAACTTCTAAAATTGTTGAAACTCCAAGAGTTATGGTCATTATAATATAAGTTAATAATATACTTATGGACAGGTTTAACTCACCGTTCATGGGGGTTAAGTCTCTATGAGAACTCGTTTTCCATATTCCACACAAGAGAACCAATACATATGGCCTACATGCATAGTTTGTTTTATAGCTCTCAATCCGGCCGAAATTTTTTTTTTCAATTTTGGTGATATTGTTTGGATACTAATTCAGTTCACTGGAACAGTTTTTGCGGTGCTCGGACTCCATTGATTTTTCGTTGTATCCTGAGAAACAGAGACTCAAACTAAACCTATGTGCTTGAGGGAGCAAATCTGTTTTAAAGAAACTGGGTTTACACAAGCCTCAATTGAAAGTTCATTCGCTCGTTTATTACTTTCTACAATTTTAAGTTATTTGTTCTGCTCTTTCTATTACTGATAAAGATATATAATCTACAATATTGTGGGTAATAGAAAAATTATTTAAAGTTGACAATATATTCATGTAGCATACCAGGTCGTATTAGATACAATTATTATTTTATCTTTCATTCGCTAATAGTACATATTCCATACGATATCTTATTCTCGTGGACTATAGTTGAACTATATAATCTGCAGTATTGTAGGTAACGATTGCATCCGACCTTAAGCAATCAGAAAAGCATTTTTATAGGTTTCCAAGAAATACCAAGCAATCACAGCATATTATTATAACAAAAGTTATTTAATCATACCACACAGTTTTTATAATGACAGCTTTTAATTTGTGATAATTTATCTCCTGATGATAAAATATATCAACTTGTAATCAAGAATATACCTAAGCAATCTCACCAACCAACCACTGAGTCTATCGAAGTTGAACGGCCACATTATTATAACAATCATAGCAGAACTTTCCTAATGACATCTTTTAATATATGATAATTTACCTCTTTCAAAGAAAATACATCAACTTGCATCCAAGAAAAACCAGCAGCTTTTTTTTTTTCTTTTTTCTTTTTATTTATTTTTTGGTTTAAATGAGAAATCAAACTGAATAACTAAATTATCATAGAGGAAATTGCAGCCTCTAATATGTTCTACAGAAGAAAGAAGGCTCAAATCTGTTGTTCGATTGGCAGAAAGGTTTTCCTCCGCCAGTTGCATATGAATGGAAAATCCAAACTCACATACCACCTGATCACCACGCTAAGATACGGGTTGATTCATCTCAACAGCCAATCAATGAGCTTGGAAGAATTAAGAAATATCATCACAGCCTGAAAATTGGGGATTGAAATAGTAAAAGTACTACACCATCACTACTACAACACTTGAAAAAAAAAATAAAAAACTACAACATTACTAACTTTTTAAAATAATAAAAAATAAAAAAATGTAGAAAGGAATAAAAATAGAAAAAAGACTGCGCAGCAAATAAAAAAAATGAAAAAAGGCTTCATAGATTTCTATTTTTATTTTTTGTATTTTTTTTTCCATTCCTTAGTTTTTTGTTTTTGTTTTGGTATTGGTTTTCATTTTTTTTTTCAACAATTAATATTAAGGATATTGTAGTCATTTGGATAAAAATATTGACCTTTTAAATTTTAACAGTCAAATAAACCACAGCAGACTAAAAAGGTGATTTCACACAAATGGTTGAAATAAGGTTAAAAATGTCAGGATTGATAGATAAGTACCGATCCAATGAGGACGCAAATGATTAGTGTATTAATTACTAGAGCTAGCTCTTTTACAAAAAGACAATTACCTTCATTCTTAAACACAAAAAAATGTATAGAAAACAAAAATGCCACACTCCAACCCCACCATTTGTCGTTGATTTAGTTAAAGATTTCAAAGTCGTCCCATCAGCTCTTAGATTTTGCTTTTTCTTTAAATTTTACTAAATAATTTAAAAAATAATGTTTTTAAAATATACATCCTGTCGATAGAATGAAATTTAATGAATTTACAACCATTTGGTTGAATTTATTCAATATTGTTCATATATAAATCTCTATTTAGTTTTGCTAAAAATCTTACTTTCAGTAGAGTTAGATAAAGGTTAATGAATTGTATAGAGCAAAAATTATTAAAAAATGTAGTACCATGAAATTTATAATTGAAAACGAGTTTGAAAAAAAAAATGAAAGACAAACGAGGGTAAATTTCTCTTTAACGGAGGAGAGGTGAAGTATTTGAGAAATTTTTTTACGAGCTATAGATGAGGATTTGATATCTTTTCCATAATGTGACTGAGACAAAAAAGCTGCTAAGCCATCTTTGATTTCTTCACAGTTGCAATAACATGAACTTGCAGCCCACCTTAAGCGATCACACAAGCATTAGGTTAGGTTCCAAGAAATACTAAGCAATCACACCATATCCCACATATATAAAAGAGCGAAAGAATTGTCGGGCCACGTGTCACAAATATGTACCATCCTCCATTTTTTTCTATTTCCTTAACTGAAAACAATGTATATTGTGTTTGGCCCATTTTGGAGGCATGAGGCATTCAGTACTATTTCTCTATTTTTTTCACTCAGTCCACCATTCCTCACTACTCTTCTCATTCATCT